GCTTTACCTAGGACTACAGCTTTACCTAGGACTACAGCTTTACCTAGGACTACAACTTGAGCTTGTCATTAGAGTTTACTAGTAACATTCTAATAGAGTCCAGTCATCTCCTTTCTAAGCCCCCAGACTTTCAGACCACCGTGAGCCAATTTAGTGTGTTTAGCTCACTGTAAGAAGGGGCGTGTCACTCGGGACAATGAGGAGTACCCCGTATGGCTTTGCCAGCCTTATAAAGTATAAAAAATACAGCTGGTTTGTCAGCATCGTACCCTGGTGTCTCTCTAAGTGCCCCAGTCCAGTGTCGGCCATCGATCATACTCAAGACTAGAGTATGATTCTCAAGGACAGCAATAATGCAAATCTGAGATTTCTGTCATTAGTAATGCTGCCTCATTAGTGTGAGCAGTGGCCTCCCTTACCTCCCACAGGTGATCGCAGCAGCAGCAGTTCAAGACAGTGGTGGTTTTCACTTCCTTTTCTTGAGAAATCTTCCACAGGGAAAAATTACGAAGTCCCTGTTAAATCCAATATATAAATCCCCTAAAATGAGTATGGAGGAGCTCTATACTCTATAGTCGGGCTGCTAACCTCAAGGTCAGCAGTTCGAAACTACCGGCCATTCCGCGGGAGAAAGATGAGGCTTTCTACTCCTGTAAAGATTTGCAGCCTCGGAAACCCTGTGCAGGGTCACTAAGAACCGACTCCACGGTACTTAACAAGAACATTATCTAGTTCTGGAGTCCTGGTGTGGTGCTACAGGTTAATGCGCTGGACTGTGAGTTGGTTTGAACCAAAGGGTCAGCTGTTCTAGATCACCAGCTGCTCCTTGGAAATGCTATACAGGGTTGCTATGAGTCCGAACCCACGCGATGGCATTTAACAACAAAAGTAAATATGTCACATAATGGATACAAAGGGAAAAAGAGATTTTGAAGGATATCATTGACCCTGTTGTTGTTGTTTTGTGCTGTGGAGTCGGTTCTGACTCATAGCGACCCTGTACAGGGTTTCCGAGGCTGTAAATCTTTACAGGAACAGAAAGCCTCATCTTTCTCCCGCAGAACAGCTGGTAGTTTCCAACTGCTGACCTTGAGGTTATCAGCCCGATTAATAACCACTACACTGTATTTTTACATGCGTGAAAATATACATGGAGATCTCCTAAGAGGCCTTTCTTACTGAGAAGTGGTTTCTGGTTTGGAATCAGGTTCTTGCCCAACGTATCAGATGGCATGGAGGTCTGCTGCCAGGCATCCCTTAGTCTTTTGGATTGAGGGGCTGGGGTGAGACATTCTGACAGGTTTGAATTGCTGACATCTTCAGGGTAATTCAGACCTAATTAATCTGGGCTCACATAACAGTCGCTTATAGTGGGAGAATGAGTATTCTGGTGCAGTCCCCTTGGGAGAGCAGGGTGAGGTAAGTCCCAGCTAGATGTGCAGAAGGCTTACCAGTTAGTTGAGGGAAATAGGATCTGGTGAGAGGCAACCTGAGGAGTGTAAACATCAACTGAGGAGGTGCTGAGGACCATCTTCCCAGGAGGTGTCGTCCCGTTTCCATAGCTTTTGATAGACTGCAAAGCACTTCCACTTCCTGTGTCATTGCATCTTCCTGCGAACCCTGTGAAGTGTAGCTCCATCTCATGAATGGGTCAACGGAAGCTCATGGAGGTCATTTTCCTGTAGTCACATGATAAGTGATGGCATTCTGCTTCTCTGACCATCATTGAATCAATCATATACTACACATTGGACAAGAGAATCATCCATTGAGAAGCTGATCATGAAGCAAGAAACATGTTGAGAACATTACTAGATATAAACATGGAGGAAATCGGTGGGGTTTACATGTAGGTTAGGTTATTATGTCTTGGCATTGAGTATTTTGTTTTTGAGTTTTAGTCTGTACTTGTTTGTATCAGGCAGTTCTGAGGGAGTTGGGTGGATGAGTTCTGGAGAATCTTTTCACCAACTCAAAATTCTTATGGCACACTGGGGCCGGGTCTTAATAGAGTAACTGTAAAGCTCTGCTCTGGAAGCCTTTGGAATTTGTCAGACCAAGCCTGGATTGTAGAAAAGGTCTTCACACTCCATTTTTTGGAGAGGGCATAATGTAACAAGGGTGTTAATCTTTTATAAGAGAGCTTAAATTTGGGTAACATTTTTTTTTCCCAACCCTTTGTATGTGTCCAGTCCTGCAACATTTATTTTGGTCACTATGTTCTGTACCCGTAACCACTATCAGGTTCCATCAGCCGTAATAGAGCTGAGTGCACCTTAAGTAAGATTTCCTTCTCCCTCTCCCATGGTGAGCACGTCTCCCTGCATTTACCTGTTCTAGAGATTTCAGACAAGTGAGCTACTGTCTGCCCACTTGTGCCTGATGTGATTCACACGCCGTGAGGTTTTCAAGGTTTCCTCGTGTAGCAGTGTGTATCGGGACTTCATTGTATGTACAGACCACACTTTGTATTCTTTGCATTTGTCTTAGGTTGTTTCCTCCTTTTGACCATTGTGAGTAATGCTGCACTGAACATTGGTGTACACGTCTCTGTTTGAATCCTGCTTTCACTTCTTTTGGGCCTATACCTAGAAGTAGAATTTTTGAGTCATATAGTACTTTCTTGTGATTATATGGAGTCCTGGTGTGTGCTGTGGGTTAATGTGCTGGACTGCAAGGTTAGTTTGAACTGTAAGGTTGGCGGTTCAAGCTCCTGAGCCACTCCTTGGAAACCCTACATAGGGTTGCTGTGTACAATGGTACTTCTATGTTTAACATTTTGAAGAACTGTCAAACTGTTTTCCACAATGGCTGCACCATTTTGCATTTCCCCTCCCCTATAATGGCTGAGGGTTGTATTTCCCCATAACCTCTCTAGTACTTACTGTTTTCTGTTTCTCTGATAAAAGCCTTCTCTCCTAGTGGGGTGAGGTCACTGGACCATAAAGGGCAGTTTGAATCGCAAGGGCAGCAATTCAAACCCACTAGCCATTCCTTGGAAACCCTATACAGGGCCACTGTGAGTTGGAAACAACTCAAAGGCTCTTAACAACAACGTAACAAGTGGGGTGAAGTGGTATCTCAGTGTGGATGAATGCGTCAGACTGCAAAGCTGTTTGAACTGCAAGGTCAGTGGTTCAGGCTCACCAGTTGCTCCTTGGAAACCCTATACAGGGTTGCTATGGGTTGGAATTGACTTGACGGCACTTAACAACAACAATAAAATCACTGTAGCATAAGCAGGTGACCGTAAGGTCGGTGGTTCAAACTCACAGCTGCTCCTTGGAAACCCTATATAGGGTTGCTGTGGGTTGGAACTGACTCAGCATACTTAACAACAACAATGAATCATGAGTCCTGGTGTGGCACTGTAGGATACACACTGCACTGCTAACAGCAAGGTTGGTGGTTCAGATCTACCAGCTGCTTCTCGGAAACCCTATACAGGCTTGCTATGAGTTGAGATCAACTTGGCAGTGCTTAACAACAACTCATGATTTTGGCCATCGTTTTGAGTGCTTCTTTATAATATTTTAGCTTTTATTCCGTTTTGAGTGCTTCTTTATAATATTTTAGCTTTTAATCCGTTTTGAGTGCTTCTTTATAATATTTTAGCTTTTATTCTGTTTTTCTTTTTGACAAAAATCTTGTGAACTGCCAAATACCATTGTTTCTTTTTTGAAAAGAATTAAACCAAGCCCTCTTGATTAGCCAGTAGTAACAGCCATCTGTGTATCCTGTAGACATGCAATGTTATTTGACATCCCAGACTTCAGTCCCTTGTTTTTCGCTTGCTTCATAAAGACCTCGTTGGGAATTGTCCGAGCTCTAGCTTGTTTTTGACTTCCACTGTGAATGAAGCACAAAGTTACGTAAATTAGGAGGCTCTTTTGAGAAGTCTGTAGCTCTTTATGGGACTGTTTTTGTCATTGATGTTTATTAAACAAACTAAATAGAAATGAAATTAGGTGATATTTAGAACAACTGAGTAGACAAAAATGCATTTTTTGGGAAAGAATTTCCTAAAGTCCTGGGTCCATGGTACATTAACAAATAACAGGTTTGTTTTATACATTTATTGAAGATGTTTGTTTTCAGTGTCTAGTTGTAGAAATTGGCAGTAGAGCATTAATGTTTTTTGTTTAAAGCATCAACAAGCCTAAATTATGTTCTTTTATCTTTAGTTACTCTCAGGGTCAAAGGAAAGGGCCTTCCCTATGCATTGGTAGCAGTTGAGGGAAAGGAGCGCTTTGTCCGGTTAAATCATTTAAAATGACCGTGGTGGTGATTGCTGTTAAGTGCTTTCGAGTCACTTCTGACCCATAGCGACCCTGGATAGGGTTTCCAAGGAGCAGTTGGTAGGTTTGAACCACCAGCCTTGTGGTTAGCTGATCCTACAGCGCCACAC